TTCCAGGGAGTGTATAAAATGGCTTTTCTTGGAATGTGTACATAGAAAAATACAGACATTGTAAGTGTGCAGCTGAGCCAATGCATGCTCACATCCTGAGCACATTGCATGTCACTCAGATCAGGAAACAAATTCTTCTACTTCTTTTGTGCTCTTCCCAATCAATAACCACTGTTCTGAGTTTTAAAAGCACAGAAAAAATAATTTCATCTCTTTTTATGCTTTATGTAAGTTGCATGCATGCAGTATATGTTCTTCTGTGTCTTATTTTGCTCAACATTAGGCTTGTGAAAGTTATCCACGCTTCTGTCTAGAGATGAAAACCCATCATTCTCAGAGTTGTATATTTTACACACACAGATTATAATGTATCCATTCTACTGTAGATGGGCATTTAGTGATCTTCTGGGTTTGGCTATTATGGATAGCGCTGCTGTGAACATTCTCACACGTTTTTGGTTGGACATACATAAGCATTTCTTCTAGTGTATAGCTGGAAGGAGAGCTGTGACATCATGGGGTAAAAATGTTCAGCCTTACTAGGTCCTGCCAACATAATGTCCCAGAGATAGTTGTACCCCTATACATTTTTACCTTTAATAAATTTAAAATCACCCTATAAAATAGATATTATCCTTCTGGATGAATAAACAAAAGCCTAAGGGAGTTGTGCCAGGTTAAATAGCTGTAGAAATGAGAATCTGAGCTTAAGTCCAGCTCCGTGAGACTAGAGAGCCCACCTGCATGACATGGGCTGAAATTGGGGGTGAGAAACATTTACCTGCAAAGAGGGATGAATTGTCCACTGAATGAGGAACAGAGCACCATTAGGGGGCTTTTCTAGCTCTGGGAGCTTTGGTAGAGGGAAGCAAATGAGAAGACTGTAGAGGAAAACCTGGCAAGCCCAGCTGTGGACTGTGGCATGCCTGAGGATGTTTGTCCTCATACCTTCCCAACCAGTCCTGACTCTGGTCATGGTCCTGACTTTCTTTTGAGTTTTTTTCATGCTCAGCTAAAACTCCATGGCAGATGGAAAAGGGAGCAAAGGAACTGGGGGTGGGGGGTGGAGGGGGCAAATGGCAGCCAGATCTGTCCAAGTGGCCCACATGTCAGAGTTGTGTGAGGCCTGCCTGCCTCCTAAGTAGCCGGATTGGGAGACATTTGTAAAGATGTTCGCCCCACAGAAAAGTGTGCCGCTCGATAATTATGCAAATTAGCTGGCAATTAGATAATGTCACTCACTTTCCTTCTCCTGCTTGAGTCCCACACAACAGAGAAGTGTTTTGAGCTTTGGCACCAGCCGGGGCCCTCCATGTGGGATCTGGGGCAGGCTGCTTGTCTCCATGGCTATCTGGGCTCAAGGGAGGGTGGCAGTTGGCTGACTGGGTGAAGAGGCTTCCATTGTTCCATTTCTAGAGTTTGGCATGTCTGACAGGAGGGCTAAAGAAGGCTGAAGGGGAAATGCTGAGAGCAGTTGGTTAGACGTCTGTGGCTGTTAACGTAAGGTCATCTCTAGCTTTTGGCCATTTTGGAAAATTCCCAGAGGCCATGAGAATGTCCACAACCCAAGAAAGGAATTCAAGGGCTTTAGGAGGGAAAATGGATAGACCATAGGATATCTAGTCTAAAGAAACCCAATTCTTTGGCCACCACACCTGACATCGGATCTGCTTGGCATCTGTGGGAAAGAAAGTTTGGTCCTCCATGACGCAAGAAAGGGGGACATTGCCATCTCCAATGCTGGTCTGGCCTGGGGAGGATGGTTGGGAGTCTAAGGACAGGCTTGGCAAGGCAGGATAGAGTGGCCACCCTAAAGTAGGCTGGGAAAATTCCCATGATCCTCTCTCATAGAAGAGTATTCCTTGGCAGCCAAGTTCTTAATTCGTGGCTTTTAGCAGCCCACTGCGCAGGTGCTGCTTTGCCCTTTTGGGTGATCTGAGGTTGATACCTAACAAGGTGTGGGGACTTAGAATTGCTGTCATGTGAAAAGGGGTCATCTGGAACACTGCATGGAACTGAAGTCAGGTGACCACAGGGCTTTTCTTCCTCTTCTATTTTACTGTTCATTCTTTATACAAATGTTTCTGGAGCTCCTGCTCCATGACAAGGTCTTGTGGCAGGTTATCATAGTGAAACAGTTGCTGCCTCAAAAGAATCCCCGAGAAAGCAGTATGATTCCAGGGCCTGGGCTCCTAATCCCTGCACTTTATTGTCCCTAAGGCATCTTGTCTTACACTAGTTTGTGATGGTTTCGAGAGTCAAGATGCTATGTTACTCTGCTATGATCCAGTAGTGCCTGGAATGAACACGCAGCTCGACACACAGTTGGGTTGAACAGCTCCCTCTCTCCCCTGGGATGCTGCCTATTGACTTGGTTTGCATACCTTACCCAACACAATGATCTCATTCTTAAGGACTGTCACATCTCATGACGCAGCCTCCTATTACCTGCCTCTAGCTTCATGCCTTCTACACATTTCACTCCAGCAGCATCAGCCGCCCTTTTTCTCTTCCAGTGTACCAGCCTGTCCCACACTCGACTTTTGCATTCGATATTATTTCTGTACATTCTTCCAAGATACTTGCATGGTAATTCCCCTGCCCTGTATCATGTCTTTCCTTAAATCTGACATTCTCATAAACTCTTAAGTTGTGGTACTCACCTATCTTCATGGTTTAAATACTCCTAGAGTCGTTATTTGATTTCTTGCTACCAAAGTAATATCAGCCAGTTCAAAATGATTTGAAATTTTAATAGGAAGCAGGGAGATCTTTTTCAAATGGGAAGGGGAACAAGAGAAGGAGGGAGATGGAGGGAGGGAATGAGCGGAATTTTTTTTCAAAAAATTGAAAGAAAAAATGGAAATAGAACTTTTGCAAATGGGAAGGGGACTGAGAGATGAAAGGAGCGGGGTAGGATGGGAGGGGTAGGGGATGAAAAAAGAATTCAGAGTTGTTATGTGCCAACTCCCTACGATCAGTTAATCATTATGTATTGTAAGCATGTACTAACAAGGAAAAAATAAAAACTGTTTGAGAGTTTAGCACTTGCTTCACACAAACTTGTATGAGTTGGCACTAGCACACACACACGTCCATGTTCCAGTTAAGCATCACTTGCACACTGGGAATAACATGCCACACTGTAGAAAAGGATTCTACAAAATCCTCTGTAGACTCAACATGTTCCTTAGGATGGATTTAAGCAGCTCTCTGTCAACTGAATTTATTTGGACATGGGGAGTGGGGATTGGTACCTGGTTAAGGGAAATACCTGCCTTTTCAAAGCAGGGGTCAGAACCAGTTCTGGCGTGGTCATCATAAAATAATGAAGAGTGATGCTCTGACGGGAAACGGTAGTGAACTATCAAATATACCAAGTAATAAACAAACCCTTGCCCAGCTCTTGGAAACTGTATACTTTGTTCCATCTGAACAGAGGCCTCACTGTCTTAGTTAGGTGGGCCAGTGTTTACCCTCAGAAGCCAGGTCACTCACTCAGCTGGGTGCTGGTGCATTTCTAAGCCTTATCATGTATGTACTCTTGGCCTGTGGCATTTCTTTTTCTTTTTTTTCCCCCCCGTGGCATTTCTTAACTATGCAGTTGTTACCCATTCTGCAGTTGTCATGATTTTTTTTTAAGTACTGTGTTTTTATACATTGGGCTTATTCCACTGACATACACACTCCCACACATATACACACACACTAGCAACCCTTCTTCCAATCCCATCCCATTCAAGAAATAAGAAAGGGGGAACCTAGTATTTACTGATCACTTTATAATATGTATAAAGTCTCATGCTGGAATATCTCCATATCTGCTTGTTTAATCCTTCCTTTAATCACAGAAAGTGGCTGTTATTTCTCGATTTTTCAAATAAGGAAATAGAAGCTTCAGTAAGGTAAACATTTTTCTTACAGTTCCATGTACAGGAACTAGAAAAATGAGGAAATTGAAGCTCAAATACATTAAATATTTTTCTTAAAGTTCAATACGGGAGCTAGACTTGAAACTCAGCCTTTTTTATTTTTTAACCTCAAAGCACTTTTTTTTTTCCTGAGAGGGCTTTTCAAAAAAATTTAAGAAGAGATAATTTTACACTCGTTGCTCATCTTCTAGTTTATTTTAATTGATTTTTATAAACATTTATTTTAAAAAGTTAAAGGTTGGAATTTGTCTTAGGCCTCCTATTCTCAAGCATGGATTGTCAAATTGAAAAAGAAGAACCTTAAAGATCAATATCTTTCAATAGGTAAATAAGTAAAAATTAGGTGTGGACATTTGAGTGCATAAAATGTTAACATTTGAAAGATTTGAATTTGACTGTGTGATCCTTTAAATGAATAGTTTAAAAATGTGTCCTTGAGAATCTTATGCTATTTTTGCATATGGAAAAACTGACTGCATTGTTATAGTTTGGGTCTGGATGTCCTCCCAAAACCTCAAGTGGTCATGGGGATGGGCTTTTCAGAGGTGGCTGACTCTAGAGTTTGTGATAGGTTCATTGTCGAGCACTGGGATTGGGGATGTGAGTGCTATGAGACCCTAGGGTAGGTAGCCTGCATGCAGTATAAGGGATGGAAAGAGGTTTGCTTCCCTTCTTTTGCGCTTGTTGCTTTTGGTATCTTCTATGGCCATAAACAGTTGCTCCTCAGCCACACCACCCTGCCTTGGAGCCAGCTGAGTATGGACTGAAACCTCCTCAAACTGTACGCTAAATAAACCTTTCCTTCCTTAATTTTGGGCGTCAGGTATTATGTCTCAGGAACAAGAGCGAGAAGTAACTAAGATAGCATCATTAGGAACTGGGCCCAGGGTCCCAGAGTGGCCATGGAGGAACATGGGTGCTTCTTCCATTTGAAGGACTCAGCACTGTAGGTGTCACTAGAATGAGCTGGCTTGTAGTCAGCACTCCACCATTTGTGAAATAAGATGCAATGTTTTCCTGACACGTGGCCCTAATCTTCCTTTCCTTCTCTCTTCCTTTGTTCCACAGGTCTTTGCTGTGGAGTCCTGGGAGGTGGGTGATGGGCAGGACTGCCTCTGGCCAGCACCATGACACCTGAATCTGCTACCACCCTGCACCAGTCTCCGCTCTGCCTGAGCACTCAACCGTGGGCTGCTCCCCTCCCCTTGGCCTGCCACTGCTAGGAGGTGGAACTTCGGGACTGGCCCTTGGCCTGTCTCTACCTCTCACCTGGCTCACCTTGAAACTTGCTCCTCCTCCATCACGGCACCCCCGACCCCAGGCCTGTCCCTGGCCTCCCTTGCTGGGGCCTTTGGGGGCCTGTTGGGAGGAGCACATTGCTGAAGGCTTCCTCCCATTCTGCACGCCTTTTACTCCTCCTCGAATCAAGGCCTCCGGATCCGCATGGATAGCTGAGATCTTTTCTTGGAGAAACACACTTCCTGCTTACTCCAGTCCCTTCCCCACCCCACCTGATTGTCCTCTCTTTCACTGCCCTGTTTTTCTCCTCTGTCTCTTCATCGGATATCTTGCTTGTGTCCCCGTCTGGGACTGTCTTCTTCTCTTTCCTCCTTCCTTACTCTCTCTATTTGTGTGTCTCCTTCTGTCTTTCAACTCTGTCTTGTTTTCCTTTCTCCCTTCTGCTGCCAAAGGGAGATCTTCCCCAGAGGGCTGTCTCCTGGCTTATCTGCTTCTCTGGCCCATAGCCACAATGACCTTCACCCTCCACTCCGTGTTCTTCACCCTGAAAGTGAGCATCCTGCTGGGGTCTCTGCTGGGGCTCTGCTTGGGCCTCGAGTTCATGGGTCTCCCCAACCAGTGGGCCCGCTACCTCCGCTGGGATGCCAGCACACGCAGCGACCTGAGTTTCCAGTTCAAGACCAATGTCTCCACGGGGCTGCTCCTCTACTTGGATGATGGTGGTGTGTGTGACTTCCTCTGCCTCTCTCTAGTGGACGGCCGTGTTCAGCTCCGCTTCAGCATGGACTGCGCCGAGACTGCTGTGCTGTCCAACAAGCAAGTGAACGACAGCAGCTGGCACTTCCTCATGGTGAGCCGTGACCACCTGCATACCGTGCTGGTGCTTGATGGCGAGAGCCAGTTGGCGGAGCTGCAGCCCCAGCGACCCTACATGGATGTGGTCAGTGACTTGTTCCTTGGTGGAGTCCCTGCCGACATACGGTCTTCTGCCCTGACCCTTGATGGAGTACAAGCCATACCTGGCTTCAGGGGTTTAATCCTGGATCTCAAGTACGGCAACTCAGAGCCCCGGCTTCTGGGGAGCCAGGGCGTCCAGTTGGAAGCTGAAGGACCCTGTGGTGAGCGGCCCTGTGAAAACGGTGGGATCTGCTTCCTCCTGGATGGCCACCCCACCTGTGACTGTTCCACCACCGGCTATGGTGGCACACTCTGCTCAGAAGGTAAGGCTCTCTTCACTCCTGCTCTTGCTAAATACTTGTGTGGACTGGGTGAGGGCCAGATGATTGACAGAAGCCAGTTTTTTAGCCTGGTGTTAATTGGACCCTTTTCCCTGAAGAGGCAGTGGAAATCCTTTGCTTGCTCGCAATGGAAAATCCAACAGATCTCAGCAGGAAGTGAAGGCTAGCTACTCAACTACAAGCTCTACACTCAACTAAAAGGACTAGATGAACTAGACTGCAGAGTCTGGGCTCCAGTATGGCTTCTTCTGCAGCATAGCTTAGCAGGATTGACGCAGGGGCAGTAATGAGATAGCAATTGGCAGAGTGGCTACCTCTGTCCCTGCTGACCCTTTGAGACTTTAGCCCTGGGGATAGATGGGAAACTCCCCCTCACTTCCTCCTTTTAACCCCCAGCATAATGAGTGCAGCAAGGGAGGCTAGGTGGATTGCAGGGTTTATGCATGGCCCTGTTGTATGTCCAGTCCTTCTATTGTGCCTCACCCCCTGGGAGGGGTGGAGAGGATAGATGAGGCATCTGCACAAAGACCTCCCTTTCTTGTTTCAGCAATAAGGATTCTTCATGTGAGGTTCCTTTGAGATGTGGTTCCTTTTCTTATCCAGTGTGTTAGGTACAGGATCCACTGGAGTCTTGCTCAGCAAGACCCCCACCCAGCTCCAAGGCTCAAATTCAAGTACAACTTCCTAGGGAGAGGAAGGAGGGATATCTGCACAAGGGCATGGGCTGCCCTCATCTCCTGCACTGAATTGTGTTTGAGATTGGAATTGAAAGAAGTGGCCCAGCTACTATTTAACAAAAACTTAAAATGCAGATTTCTGAACTGGACTCACTACAGGCTGAGATTTGGGTAGGAGGTGAGCAAGTATGTGGGAACTGACCAGACAGGTATGTATCTTGGGAAATTAGGGTGACTGGGGGCAGGAAGTTGCATTTTTCCTGTCCTTCCTGGGCTAGGAAAGCCCTGGGTTCTTCTAGAGATGTTTTGTGTGCCTTCCCACGCTGGCGTCCTCCCGGACGTGGTGGTGTGGCATGGGGGAGGCCAGGGGTTCTCAGCCTTGGCTGCACATTAGGATCACCTTGGGGAATTTAGAAACTTCCAGGACGCATCCCAAGATCACTAAACCCAAATCTCTGGGGAATCAAATCCAAGCATTTAATATATTTTTAAGCTTTCTCACATGACTCCAGAGTGTTCTCAAGGTGGAGAATAAGCTGGTGCGAAGTGGAGGGAAGTAGGTGAGGGGTGAGACTAGAAGAGGTCTTGCCCCTGACTCTTAGGATCTCTTCATTCAGGTAAGGCCCACTGCCTGGGATTTGTAATTCATGACTAGTCTGGTGTTCCTGAAACATTTCCAGAACAGCCTAGCCCCTAAAGCAGGTTGTGGTTGATACAAACTTTAACTGCCAATTGCTGTTTAAAAATATTTTTTAAAAGTCAAAACAAAGCTTATTCCACAGGTGGTGGATGCTGGAGACTAGGACATGTTGGTGCTTCCACTGGAGGCCTCATGTAGGTCATGCATGTGCCATTGGAGAAATGCTCCCTGGGGCTGTGCTTCTTTCTTCTGCTGGGTTGGGCATTGCCTCTCCCTTCCTGTGGAGGGGCTGTCTGAAAGGAAGATGCCAGAGAGATACATTTTCCTTTTACGGCTTCTATATTTCCCTCTTAAACCCTTTAGGAAAAGGGGTGGAGAAGAAGGGCAGAGGCAACCCAGTCCGCAAAACCATTTTGGGAATGTGGTAACTGAAGTGCTTTTCATGAGCAGGTGCCTTTTGGAGCTGACTGATGTTCCAAAGCTTCTTGGCTTTGGAGAAAGTTCTGCCTGAAGACGCTGACATGATCACTTGTTTTCTCATTTGCCCAAAGGATCTGTTCTGTTCTCAGAACTCGCACTGAAAGCTGGCATTCTTCCTTTCTAGGGACCAGGGTGTTTGCGAATGTGTTGTTAACTTGCTGATTATCCCTGATTGCATTTTTTGTGTCTAAAAAGAACTCATTTCCTCTGGGCAGGTTTGGATCAGCACTTTTCTGCAGGAAGAATCTCTATACTGTATATGTATACAATTTGTCTTTTCTCTCATTTATTTTTGTATATATGTGTTTTCCAATCTCCAGTGGAATTTCTTCACAATACATTGTATGCAGTCAAATTTTTAATAGCTAAATTCTATATGTATGTTTTAATAATTGTTTTTCTACAAAGTTCAGATCATCTTTTGGCTGTGGATTGATAGCTCTACCTGTAGAATGTAAATAGAATAACTCATTTATACTTCTGATCCATAAATATGGTAAACAGTCTCTGTCCTAATAGTAACATTTGCCTGGCCTGGAACAGAGCAATGCAAAGATGATGGCAGATGTTGGGGGAGATGACAGAATATACTGATACCTGGGAGCCTGTTGATCCCAGTAACTGTCCTTATGTCAAATCAACCACAAAATGCACCACAGACTAATAGAAAACAGGCATTGCCCCCAACACATAGTTAATTTTTAGAGAGTAGGTGAAAAGCTCACCTGTAAAATGTTAAGGGAAAAGTCACAGCAGCTGCTATGTGTTAAGCATATTTGCATAAAACAAAATAAACAATCTAAACAAATGCTTGTCCACTTTCTTAAAGATGATGAGGTGAAATGAATACTGAAAATGCAACCATCCTCCTTCCCTTCAGTTGCATGTGTCATAGAACTGAATCCCCAGGACTTATTCCTGGCAGTGGGTCCTATGTATTATCTCAATTTGCAGAGTGGGCCCTGCCATTCAATGCGTGAGGACTTGCACCTGGCATGGAATATGTTTCTACTTCATGCATAGCAGTTCCAAAAGCAGGTACAGCTGGGAGGGCTCCTGTAGCATCATATGGATGTGGTTGGGGCCTGTTGGAAGTGCTTGTCGTTGTCCTTTGGCTGGTAGCCAGTTGCGGCACTGCTGTTTGTATAGGCTGTCTGGCTTTCCACACCTTGAAAGTCACCAAAATATCTCCATGCTGCACCCCAGGAAGAATGCCCAGAAAGCCCCACCTCTTTTATGTACAATGGGATATTCTAATTTCCTGCTGGGAAGACCTAAAAGACACTGGGGATAGTTGCTGCTATGGAGATCTGGGCCAGAGGCAAGAGACAGTGGACACAATATCTTGTCTTTCATTTGGTGAGAGACTTAGCTATAGCTGTAGACTGCATTCTGCCCATCGTACTTGGGAAGACTTCATCACAAACTCCCAGTGTTACGCATAGTCACACTGAACGTTGTGGCGTATGATGTGGATAGAGAAGTGGTCCCAGATGTTTACTTCTAGGTGTTAAGCTTATAAGTAATATGTTTTGGTGCTCAACCAGTTATGGTCTTGGAAGAAAGAAGAAGTACAAATAACTCAAAATGATTCTAAAATTATGTATAGCTGGTTTGGAATATAGTCATACTGTGGCTTAGTATAGCTTTTTCACCTGGCTTTTGTTTAGCTCAGTCCTGTTGTGGGCAGTCTTGAAGGTTAATGGCCAATGAAGAGATATCCTGAACTTTCTCAGCCCCTAGAGTCCCCTCGTGGGTCACTGAGGGTTTGTTATTACCTTGAAATGAGTTTAAAGTTGATTATTTTTTTTAAAACATTCATAGTTCTGAATGTGCATGTATTGAGTTTCTCAACAGTCTTATGGTTGTGAAGCATTGATTCACTGCCAAGGTATATAAATTTCATACCAGTTTCCCCAGAGGGGTCATTTAATATGAAGTCAGCCTGTTGCAGGTAGGGTGGGGCCGAGAACAGTGGAGAAGGGTTTACAGGTTGGTTTCTCTTCCTGGATCTCAAGACATGGGCTGTCCTATGTCACATATTATTTATGTGACCATAATTTTAGATTAATTCAGTGAAGACATGTGGCATCCTATTCCACTGGCAAAGAGAAAATTGGTTCCTTGTCCACTGTCGTTTCCTCCTGACTTGGGCAGCTGCCGAAACCCAAAGCTGCTTGTCTGGAGTCTCAGCTGTTAACATTTTCAGGTGTTTGGACCTTATAGTGAAGTACAGCAGAGACGGTCTGTGATAGGGACTGCACATTGTCGTAGGGTACCTGCTACTGACCATCCCCCTTCCCTCCTGCTGTCCAAGGCTGCTGACATTCTACTCAGGTTGGTTTGATGGATGTCTCCACACTACTGTGTGGCCTTCATATGCCATCCTGAAAGTGAATTTCAATTAGTTTTCTTTTTGGTGAGAATTGTGTGGCTCTCTCCCCTTTTCTCCAAGCCAGAATGAGGATGGAAAGGCATACAGTAAGAGGAGACTGCTTACACTGGAGCCTTTACTGAGGTACAGACACCAGACATGTAGTGAAGGTACCAGCGATTGCCCCAGTTGGATCCTCCTGTTTTGGACACTTGAGTAAAAACACAGTCACCTCTCCTTCTTTTTTCCGGTGCACACCCTGCTGGAATTGTGATATGGCATTGTTCCTCATCTGTGTCAACTCTGAATGGCCTTGCAAGGCGGGGCAGGCAGGGGAGTAGTGAGTGATCAGAGGGGAAGAGGCTAGCTCCTTTCCCAGGGCTTCTGTCTGGTATGGAGAAGGTAGCACAGAGGCAAGGCCTTAAAATGCACACAAAGGAGGGACTGTGCTCCTAAGATGTGATTTCCTACCTAGCATGCAGGCTGGAGACTACCAGCCCAGCCAGCCAGCAGGGGCTGTCGCTAAACCTTGCCTGAATAGGGGTCTGATTGCTCCTTTTTCCTCCTCTCCTCCTGATTACCAAGTGAGATTTCCTGGGTATGCTGTATGCTAAATGGCAGAACAGCCGCCTGCCACTTGCTCCAATTATCCCTCTTTTAACTGCTGAGGAAAGAACAATTTTTCTAATCTCCCCCCTCCCATGACATCTCTGCATCCTTTAAAGAAATAAAGCCCTCTTTCTCATTCTCCCTTTGCTGGGGTGAGAGCAGGCTTTTCCCTTTGCAGAGACGGCCCACCAGCTGCACACTG